AAAATTTTCAAAAAGAACTAATACACACACTGAAAACATTTCAATAACTTTTATATTTGAAAATCAACAAACAACAAACACAATTAGCAGCTGTATGCACTTTTTTTTTAGCATAAACATTAAATTAACATTAACATGAAGCCCTAATAATAATAATAAATAAAATAAAAAATATATATATATATATAATGTGTATATATACACACACACACAAACACACACATTTAAAGAAACAAAATAAGTTGTTGGTTCAGGTGACTATACTACTGGAATACTTGGTTCTGTTCTGCTGCATTTCCTTCCTTATAATGACTGTTGTCAATAGCAACGCATTATAACACAGCACACATCCATGTCTCTTGTATCACCGCGGAGGCGCTGACGCGCTCTCTCTCGTTTCATTCAAATGCGGCTTGCCGTTTTGAGTCTCAGTTTTTGATTGTATTGAAAATGAAATCAGAGGAATTTAGTATTAATACTACTATAATTTTGCTCTAGTGATCATATTGTCCTGACTACTGTTTTGTACACTGTTCATAACGGGTAAGATTTTAAAACATTAATCTCAATTCATTATTTCATGTACTCTGTTTTTTATATTTCTGATTTGGCATTTAAAACTCTTGGTGAGCATAAACATAAACTCTAAAATCAGCTCTAAAGTGTTGAAGGTTTTCTTGGCCGACGGCTTTGTTGCAGTGCTATTTTATGAATTAATATGAATTTAGAGAGCAGATTTGTTATGAAAACAGTAACTTATACAACTCTATGCAAGGCTGTCTACAGCGATGATAAACCGAGGTCTGATTAGCAAAGACTTTTCAGACATCTATGTACTGCTGCAAGCATGCAGGAGAAAAGCCCTCTTAAAGTTTCAATAATTCAGTTCAGAGCTTATAAATCTAAACTCTGTAACTTCCAAGCATCACATACCATGAAACCCCATCATTTAGTTTTTTGGGGGGGGGGTTTTAGCATTCACAATAAATGAAAAAGTAAAACAACAAAATCCTGCAGATAATGCAATGCATCTGGTGAGTTTGTTTTTCCGAACAGAAAAAGCCTCTTTTTTTTTTTTTTTTGGCATTTTTTACTCAATATTTTACATTTCACCAACCAGTGTACAAAAAGAGCCGATGTGAGCAAGACATTGTTCAGTTACCGAAATGACTGGCATCATTGTTTTACTTTAATATCAACTCTGGATCAAAATACCGAGGTTGAATATCTAAGTTCAAATATCACACTGTCTCCAAGCTCTTGAGAATGCCCGAACCTCTATTTATACATATTTATAGGTTATCTTTTAGCAAAACAATGATGAGCCAGTTCTGAATTGTTTTTAGCCTTTGTGTATTATACACAGACAATCATTCTTTGCAGTATCTCTTCTTCTTAAATTCTTCCTTGTGGACATTTTCCATTAAGGCCACCTGCATTCCATAAGATATTTAAATAACTAGACGCCTCAAGACTTACAAGCATTATGGCTTATCAAAGTCCGTAACAAGAAGTGTAACCCAATTTTTTTAATCGATTTCTTCTTCCAGACCCAAACCACCACCACCTGATGGTGTGAAATCCAACCCCTCCAAGCGGCACAGAGACCGGCTGAACGGCGAATTGGACAAGCTGACCAACCTTCTACCCTTCTCAGAAGATGTCCGTGCACGGTTGGACAAACTGTCGGTGCTTCGACTCAGTGTTGGTTACCTGAAGGTCAAGAGCTTCTTCAGTGGTGAGATCACAACTTATTTTTAGAGTTTCGGTTTTCATCTCGGTGATAACTTTTGCTGTTTTGTGCATTTACAACATGGTCAGTTTTTCTTTTTCAGCCTTTGTCAAGTTCATATTTTTATATATTTTTGGGCCAGTGTTATTTATGGTATTACTGCATTAACTAACTCTAAGCAAGGAAGAGAGGACAGGAAATGATGTGGAGAAGGGGGAACAGGATCAGGAGATGTCACAAGTGGGATTGAAACTCGTGTTGCCACGTGCAAGTATCCCAGCTGAGTTAGAGTAACTGCTAAACTCACAGTCAGAGTGCTAAACGGTCGCTGATTAATCATTGCTTCCCAGTAAATTTGAGTTAAATTGATTAATTTCTCAAGTCGCTGTCGTCGTGATCGTTTAAGTTCTTTCTACCAGAATGAAGGAACAGGGGAAGTGGCTTCAGTTACGCTGCCACATATCACCCTTGATTAAATGACTGATGCTTTTGAAAATGCTTCTCAGAATTATGATTCAGTCTCAGTCCTAATGGTGTTTTATCTTTATTCATTTATGTAGCATCTCAAGTAAAGTTCTACTGAATTTGTTTGCACAGTTTACCATAAGGTCCATATCACATGAATAATACGCTAGAAACTTGTGACCCCAGCTGACGTTTATTATCTCTAGAAAGTTGCAAGGGAGCTGAAAGATCACATGCTAGTCTGGTTTGGGGTCCTTAACTTACTTAACTTTCTTGACATCATAAATTAGGCTTGGTTTTTCTTTCATTTTACTCTCTGCTGGCTAAAAGGTTTCGTAAATAACCCACACAGACATTCATGAGTTCAAGGATCAGTTTCTCTGAGGGTTTCAGATCTTTAGCCAATAAATGCTTGTTTGTTTGTGTGTCTTTAAAAAAGGCTCAGAAAAACATGTCAACATGACCTTTCAAGGAGTGACGTAGGATCTTCTCATGGAATTAATCAAGTTTCTAAAAATTATATAGAGGGGAAACCTCTCAACGGAAGGTTAAATTAGCAGTTCCCAGAACAAAACCATCCATAATGCCTGTCTAAGAGATACTGGAGTTTTTATTTTCCATAGAAATTCATATGTAGTATTGTTGTGTTTGTCAGTGATGGATTCTGAATTGTAGTCAGGAATGTGAAGTGGTCTTGAAGACGAACCGTGTAAAATGTCTTTTAAATTGAGTTTTAAATTTGTCTTATTAGACTTAATTTGTCTTGTTTTGCAGTAAAAATTTAAAATGAAATATCTAGGGCTGCAACAACTAATCGATAAAATCGATTATTATCGATAATGAAAATAATCGACAACGATTCTCATTATCGATTAGTCGGGTCTGCCCAAGGTGCACGTCCAACTTCAGCCGGTCGCGTCAAATTACAGCACTGAATAGCGCATTATGGACAACTCTTTAGTAACAGTAGTTGACTACTGTAGTTGATTCTATGCTATGATATAATTATTGCTGTTATCTATGAAAAAAGGCAGAAAAAAAATAGTCAAGCACTTTATAGTGTTTTTTTTTCTCAGATACCCAATTACAGTCAAAAAGTACCTAAGCAATGCCAGCAAGAATGCAAGCTGTTATGGAAGGCATAGGAGGACATTCTTGTTAATATGTGAATAAATACTAGCCTACTTAGTTTGATATTTGCTCAATAAATGACAATAACATTTTTAGATTTAAACAATTTTTTGACAGATTCCTAAAATATTTGTGTTTTATCTTTATTATGATGTGTGTCTAATAAATTGTTAAGCACTATTTTCATAGCATTCAGTTGACACATTTGTTTAAAGGACATTGGGCAGAATGTGGAAGTGTTTTTTGTCCAAAAAGAAAGAAAGAAGAAGATCCGATTAATCGAAAAAATAATCGGCCAACTAATCGATTATCAAAATAATCGTTAGTTGCAGCCCTAGAAATATCAATGTCTTTCACTGATATTTAGAATTTTTAACTGAGAAAATAAGACAGTAGATTGAGAACAGGATATTCTCCAGAGGACAAAAAGCTGTTTTTCAGGTGTAGTCCGATTTGGTGAGATGTAGATATAAAGACTTCATAACAATTTACATGCTTAGCCACTTGTCAAATATAGATTTTGATTAGATTCGATTTGATTAGATTAGACTTCACATACACAGGATGAAAATAGCCCTGAGGACATGGGTTGCTGTCCTTTGTTATCATTTATAGATTATTATAATATGACAAGACTTGGGCCTTGCCCTCATGTACTTCTCCCACGTGTCTTTACATGACCTTTGCGTTAATATTTAACACAATATCTGGATATAGTATTATATTTTGCTACCATAATTACCGAAGGTGTTTTTTTTCTTGTGTAAATAATTACATAAATTTTCTTTTGTAAATAATGGACAAATAATGTCCATTGTTTAAAAAGACTTTTACACATTGACCTTTCGGACCCACTTTATATTAAGTGGCCTTAACAACTATGTACTTACATTTAAATTAATAATTTGGTACAATGCACTTATTGTGTACATACATGTTTTTACATTGTACTTATATTTTAAAAATACCTGCATGTAATTACATCTGTAATTAATTTCTGTAATTACATTTATAATTACACAGTTGACCCATCCCTTACACCTTAACCCACCCTTAAACCTACCCATACCAACAAACCTGTCCCTAACCTTACCCATATCCCACCTTAATAGCAGCAAAAGTGTTTTGCAATACAATATGAACACAATAAGTACATTGTACTTAATTTTTGATGTAAGTACATAGTAGTTAAGGCCACTTAATATAAAGTGGGGCCGACCTTTCTTCTCGTCTTTTCTCAGATTTTCTTTATCTTTAACTCTGTTATCTTGCTTTTTGAACATGATAGTGGCAGCAAGCATGTGTCTTTTCTTGAACTCCTTGCTGAGTAAGTGTGGCAGCTATGAAGAGTATGCAGAGAATTCCATTGTGAAAAGACAAAGGGCCTTATGGGAAATATTTTGGGAGTCATCTTGGCACCATCAGTGGGCAAGGAAGACAAACAGGCAAAGTTTGGGATAAAGAGTGCTGAATCAGACAACATGAAGTTCCTGGCACCGTCCTGGACTCCCCACCTTGTTCTGTCAGGCTGAGCCTGTCCGAGCAAACACACAGACAGACAATTGGCAGGGAACCTGTCCAGTCTGGATGGGCATTTGAGAGACTCACTAATAACCCAGTTTAGAGATGGGTAGAAATTATGTTTTTGCAGGACAGAAGGTCTTAGCCAGTGTCATCTCAAAGGTCTCTGACCTGTCATTATTTCACTGCCAGACTCAAACTTCCTTTTCCTCTTAGGAACTGTCCGTGCATTGTGTGGAAATTCATCAAGTCTTTCCCCTCTCCTCCACCACCCTTTTACATTTTTCGTTTGAAATTGGGCCTCCAAGCAAACAGACCACCAAAGGCTTGACAGAGCCCCAAATGTGCCAGCCTGCTGCCCCCAGCTAAGCTTCCTTTTATTGTTCTACTAAAATAGCAACAATTAGAAACAGGCATTTGGGGAGAGTAGAAGAGTGAGCGAGAACAAGACAGCACAGGAAAAGAGAGCTAAGCGTGAAGCAGACAGTCCAAAAGAAGACCGGTTATTTTTGACCTGCCCACAAGATTCACAGAGCACTTGTCGCCCTCGAAAGACTGAAAGACCAAAGAGATCATGTAAAACATATCTCTATGCATTTGTTTGTGTGCAACGTCGTTAGTAACCACATGTGTGAAGCAGAGAAATGAGGGCAACATGAGGCTCTACAAGCAGACGATGTTTGGTGTTGCTGCAGTGTATGCAGCATAAATAAACTGCGACAGACAGGAAACACAAGGTATTGTGGTAAGACATTGAGTCTGACACCTGAGTCATTTCACAGGTTCTTTTGAAAGAACGAGCAAGGAAGACGAGTGACAGACATGCTGACAGGAAAAAGGGGAGCATTGGGAGCATCTGGTAGACGTATCCAAACAGAGGTGCTAGACAAATGCCTATTTCCTTCATTGCCCCCACCCTATCTGTCTTTCCGGCATTGCTGTGTTGGTTTCAGCCTCACATCTATGTTGCTACTCTTTCAAAAGAATGTATATTGGACTGGGGACTGGGACATTTACTTCACTTTCTATAAATAATTGCTGTAATATCAGGAAATAACATCATCCTCAATAGTGAGGCTTGAATTGGCCCAATCCAAGCTATTTTCAATCCCTCCCCAACAGTATTAATTGGATCAAGGCTGCGAGTACAGTAACTCCTTTATTAGCTTGTCTATTTTCGTCACTAGCTATGAAACGCAGAGAGAGGCGTGCCCAGGGCTACGGATTCCTCTGTGTCTGGCTTCTAGCAGGTCAGACACTGTCTTTGCAGAGAATGGATCCTCTGTTGGTGTCCTCCCATCATCCAAGGCTGGAGATGGAAGGACCTAGAAGGTTGGACTGAGAAAAACCACAAGATTCGGTCCCACAGTGAGATGCACAAATGGGACATTGTGTGAACTGTGTTCCCAGTATGCACTGGGGCCAGGGCATCGTTGTGTATTGATGAGGGTCAGGTCTGGAGGAGTCGCTGCATAGAATGGTCCTTGTCTGAAGTGTAATGTGGTGTGTCATTGGTCTAGCTCGGCTTTGACCTTAGGGATGAATCGGTTGGCTTCAAAACTACTTTTGCGGCGCCCAGAGTATGATGGAAAGAGACACAGGCAGAAAGATTCCAGGAAAGAAAGGTTCATTGTTCCTTACTTTCTTGCTCTTCATCTTTGCCCTTTCAACATTTAAATAAGTTTCTATGCCTCTACCCTGTTCAAAGCTTTTAGCCTCCTCCTTGTTCTTGCTGCAAATTTCCATCGCGCTCTCTCTCCTTCTGTTTTTCTGAACTGCATTTTCTGCATCTTATCTTAGTAGAGATCGCCACGTTCCTGACGGTAAATAGATGGAAGATTGAGGGTGGTAGGGCTGAGGGAGGGAAGGGTTGGTGCTCAGAGCCCTGAGGCGTTCCGGCACGCTATGGGGGCACTGCAGGTAGTGGAGTCCTCCAGACCACTTGGGGTCGCTCTCATAAATTATGCTTTAAAAGCAGTAATAACTCACCTTATTCTTTTTCCCATACTCGTTGGTCTGATTTTGACCATTTTGGGTGGAACCTTTGGTGGCATTGTCTATCAGCTTTTCTTCTTCCTCTTCATTCCTTCGGATGAGACGTTAAACCGAGGTCTTGACTCTCTGTGGTCATTAAAAATCCAATGGCATTCTCGTAAAGAGTAGGGGTGTAACCCCGGTTCCTGGCCAAATTGCTGCCACTGGCCTCTGACCATCATGGCCTCCTAATAATCCCCATCCACTTGATTGGCTCTATCTCTCTCTCTCCTCTCCACTTGTAGCTGGTGTGTGGTGAGCGCACTGGCGCCGTTGTACTGTGGCTGCTGTCGCATTATCCAGTTGGATGCTGCACACTGGTGGTGGCTGAGGAGAGATCCCCCACATGATTGTAAAGCGCTTTGGGTGTACAGCAATACACAATAAAGTGCTATATAAATGCATCATTCATTCATTCATTCATATGTACAGTGTCTAGAACAGTGGTTCTCAAACCTGTCCTGGAGGACCCCTAGCCCTGCATATTTTGTATGTTTCCCTTATCTAACACACCTGATTCAACTCATCAGCCCGTTAGTAGAGACTGCAATACATGAATTGGGTCAGAGTTCAGAAGTGCTAATAAGTCAGACTTCTCCTTGATGTCAAGGCATTATCCAGTTGGATGCTGCACACTGGTGGTGGCTGAGGAGAGATCCCCCACATGATTGTAAAGCGCTTTGGGTGTACAGCAATACACAATAAAGTGCTATATAAATGCATCATTCATTCATTCATTCATTCATTCATATGTACAGTGTCTAGAACGGTGGTTCTCAAACCTGTCCTGGAGGACCCCTAGCCCTGCATATTTTGTATGTTTCCCTTATCTAACACACCTGATTCAACTCATCAGCCCGTTAGTAGAGACTGCAATACATGAATTGGGTCAGAGTTCAGAAGTGCTAATAAGTCAGACTTCTCCTTGATGTCAAGGCACTCTGTACCTCATTATTCCTCAACCCAAACTTGATTGGCCAATTAAGGGCTTTCTGTGGGATAAGAAGCAGCATCCTTTTGGTAATGGGGCAGTTTTTGGTTGATGTTGAACATGAACACCATCTTTTGCAACACCATGCTAGTTAGTATTTAAACTTGCATGAGGAAAGATGGTACTTACCCTGTTTTATCAGACAAACATCAAGAAATATCTAGTTTATTACAGGTTGAGGTCAGATTGTTGTTGCAGTAAAAATAAAGTGTTAACTCTTTCTTTAACCTTCAACTGCTTGAGTAGGTTCCTTGCGTTTTGTTTGAGGAATTTGAGGGGTTGTCAAAACTTTGGTTTCTGCTTTTCTTTCGTTCCTTGTTTATCACTTGTTTAGCAGCCAAGAAAATGGAACAAAAATGCTTCTACGTGTTTTCTAAACATCAGTATTCCCAAGTCCTGTCAACTCTAGTTGGACTTCCAGTGCTAACACCTGATTTAATTTTTTAAGGTTATGAAAGCAACATGCACTATTGTCCTGCTCAAGTTTTTGTTTTCCCTGCCCTTATTTGTGTTTGTTTTGGTGGGGGGTTTCTGTCTCCTATTGTCCTCGGTCAGAAGAGTTCACCTGCCCTTTCTTTTGTTGATGGGAGACAAGACAGATGGACTCGGAACATCAATATTTGTGCTGGCATGAGTCAGTGGAGACTAACACCAGAGGCTTCGGAAAGTAAGAACAGAGAGAGGAAAGACGAGGGCCTCTCTCACTCCCTTGTTTCAGCTGCACAATTTTCTGTTCTTCTTACCGCCGGATGACCTGACCTGCCACGTCTTTGAATGCGAGAGACAGCTTTGGTCGGCCTCTCTTTTTTGCCCTTTGATGTGAATGTTTAGTCATCAGTCTCGCCAGAGAACAACAGTCCCAGCAGGGGTCTCAATTCTGAGCTTATACATGCACAGGTTTACATTACGCCCTGTTACTTTGATGTACTAATTCAAGAGAAAAATGCATGTATCTTTGTTTTGCAGGACTACAGGCCTGATCTAACTTTGGCGATATATTCATCTTTGAAATGTATCCTACAAACCACATTAGAGAAGGACAAGATATAGTTGCATTATTTAAAAGTGTAGATTATATTTTATATTTCTGTATTGGGGTATATATATGTCACGATTCAAAACATAGCGTGATACTGTGTACTCAGATATGCAAGATAAATCAACCTAATACTCCAGTTTTCAAACTAGTGCTTTTCACACACATACACATCTCTTTGACATCACTATGTTCCTGAGACACTCATCTGAAATACCATGATAATAAGGCTCTTTGTAGCCATGTAGCCTAAGGTAATTCTCATTCAGGTGATGCTGTCTCTATTTATATCCTGGCACACGTAACCTCTGTTACCCAGTAGCAATCGTATGCAAACCAGGTCGCCCACTAATATGAAACCAACTTTTTCATCATTCAAATTTACAGCGTCTCTTTCTTGTGGCCCATTGTTTATATACCCATCTTTCTAAAGAATGCCTTGCAAGCATGGCAACTTTTTTCTTCGCTTTTTGTCTGTCTAGCAAGTCACAACCACATGTGGTTGAAACGCGCTGTTTTTACACCCACTTAAAAAAGGAGAAATAGTAAAGCTGCAGTGCTAATCCAAATGGGGCTCTCGCAGGCTCATAACATGAAAACAACAAATGCTGCAGTGTTCCCCCACACTTGAGGTGGCGATAGCATCAACAAGCATGCCTATCAGCAACACAAGACGGAGCTTTTAAGATCATCACAGTCAAAACACAGAGCTTGGCTACTCAAGTGGAAACAGGCCCAAGAATGATAAAGAGCCAGCATAACCTTCCTTTTGAGAGAGAAGGTTGGAAAGAAAGGTACCATAATGCCTTGGTAGTCATTGAAAATAAATGAATGTGTCAGTGATCAAGAACAAACAAAGGGAGGAAGAAAATAGTCTTCTGTTCTTAGGTTGTCTTTATACAAAATTTTCAGTAGCAGATACCAAACCATAAATTGTGATACCACAGAGTCTAATATGGGTTTGAATACATAAATGTAATATATTTTGGAATTTATTTAATCATTTTAAAATGTGTTTATATGTTTGTATTTATATACAATATTTGTATTTTAATTTATTCAAAAGTATTTCATAATTAATTATTTTTAATAAATGTTTTAATGTATCCAATAATTGTAACATTTATTTAAATATTAATTGAATTTTTTTTATAATTGTAATAATAATTAAAAATATTTTTTTATTAATAAAAAAAACATATACATTTTTTGATTAATTTATATACATTTTAAAAAATGAACCACTTAAATTGAAACATCTTTCAGTCAGACAAAACTTGTTTTATACTTTTTAATAAACTTTTTTATACTTTTTTAAAGTACTTTTTTTTAGAATTTGTGTGCTTCCTTTTTAAAGTTTTAACATCAATTTGGTATCAAAGTACAAGCATTTTTGATATCCCTATTCCGTGACATCTTTCAGAAGTGATTAATGTGCTAGCAGTGATGAGTAATCACGTAATTCCAGGTTGTAGCGCTCTTCAAACAGACTGTATCATGCAGACCCGGAGCAGTCATTTCAATCGTGTGGTATGTTGTGCACAGCCACAAACAGCTTGTTTTCTTCATAGTGTGCATGAGACTCAGGTATGAATCACTAGGCATGAGAGTCAGTGTGGATCTGCAACCAGATGTAAGCGCTTTGCTGGCTTGCGGCTACTCCTTGCCTCTTGCTGTGATTTTCTAGGGTTTTCCCACTAAAACACGATGCCACACAGCACATTTGGGCCTGCTCCAATAGATGTGAGCCAAGGTTAGTAGGGAAGTGGCTAGATTGAGGTGGGGTGGGGGGAAGAAAAATCATGAGTCATTTTCATGCTATCAGTCATTTTTGCTAAGTGAAATAGTAACGGATAGGAAATGGCAAAACCCAAAAATGCAAGGTGGTTAACCCTCAGTCTTATGAAAATTTACTGTAGTAGCCTTGCATAGTAACCATCTATCCGTTAAACACTGTTATTTGTTGTATGTTTTTTCTACATGTACCATATTGGCATATTTGAAGTAACTTGGAATGCCATATAAATAAAATGATACCCATTCATATGGTTATTATAAGTTACTTCATAATATTTCCAAGAATACAATGGATCTACCATGGCACATGCCCAAAATACAATGGCATTACCACTAGGGCTGCACGATTTGGAGAAAAGATCTAATTGGAATTTTTCTGATCAAAACTGCAATTTACTACTATTCATAAAAGAGCTACAGGTTTGTTGTGGTGGTTTTAACAGCACCAAAGAAATGCCAAGCATTATCAAAAACTATGCTACACTGTTATACTGTTTATTTAAAAACTCTTAAACATTGTGGCCATTTTTTTATAAAGTTGTCATGATGCAAACATCTGTCATTACAAATTAAGAAAATAACTACAGCATCTTAAAGTTAAATTAACAATTATATATAAAATCTTAAACTTTGAAGAACCCAAACACACTCAAAACAATTCTACATCAGTAAAACACTGACCATAACCTACATTAAGGTTGAAACTATAACAGCAAAAGTTTTTGCCATTTAACCCTCTGGGGTCTGAGGGTGTTTTGGGGCCCTGGAGAAGTTTTGGCATGCCCTGACATTTGTGTTTTTTTCAGTATCTTAAAATTTTTTTAATGGCTAAAGTCTGATAACGCTGTATTTAGCACAAACTTGGCTACAATAATTTGTGAGCAGCATGAAAGTACGTGTTTGTGTTTTTGAGAAAACAATGTTTATGCATGGTTAGTGAAAAACTATTTTTTTAAGTCACTGAAATAAGACCATAAAACACATACAGAACGTTTGTTCACAAGACTTTTGAGAATGTGGTAGACTAGAGTTTTTGCTACAAAATGATGTGAAAATTATCCTTTCGTTGTGAGACATGTAGACAATGAAATATCACATATTTCAAAAAGTTTCATTTGATTTCAAACATGTAGTCAGGAATTAGAAAAGTCTAACTAGAAAAATATGTACAAGTTATGTCACAATAACATCAACAACAGATGCAAGTAATCTTAGGCTACTCATCAGAGTGATATTCTCCACTGGATCTAGGTGGGCGTTTACATGCGCGAGCGTCTCACGTGGATGTTTAGAATCTGAATAGCGTGATCGGCTCGTGGGCGTGACCGCATTAGATGTTATGAGTTGAGACGGGAAAACTGGACATCACGTATGCTTCATACGGATTACTTTAACAGAGAATATTTGTTTTGGATGTGACTTAGTTAATTTAAAGGTAGACATTTCAGGCTTTCTATACATATATTTCTCATGTCTTTGAGGCAAGTATTCGCTGAGATTCAGATTGTTTTATTTACGTGTCTGTGAAGAGAGGTGACAGAGACCGAGACGGCGGAAAACGCACCCTGTTTATTTTATTTTTTTGTATAAATTTTTTTTTACAAAAACACATTGTTTTGTTGTTATTATGACTATACACAAATAAAAGTAGACCCTTTGCAGTTTCAAACGATACCTCATTCTTATCTGTACGATCAAAACTAACGTAGTATTTTAGTTCTTTTCGCGGTCATAAAGAAAATACGAGACAGACTGCACCAGTGTGTGCCACTTTATAACGCTTGAGCAATTGAAGTTTGCTTGGATGTCAGTCGCAGTGGTTAATGTGACGAAGTGTGTTCATCTGTGGGCCTTTTGGCCATGCATTCATAATAGATTTGTCTGTGATACTTCTGCAGGTGCTGATACAGGTTGGTTGTGTTGCCTCGCGAGGTCGACACAGACGTTCGGCAGATTTTACAAAGTACTTGCCTTTGAAGTACATTAGAACGTCGAAATCCAAAATAATTCCAAACATATGCGGTGCTTTTTCGTTTAGGTACCAAGTCGTCTGCAGGACTTTGCTCTTCTGCAGACACACTTTGTTGGGAAGTTGAAGTGTTAAAATGCCCCCTATTGGTTAAACTCTGCATCAAAGTAAAATGCACATGAAGCAAACTGTCAAAACTCTCAAAAATCTACTACGTAGATGCTTGTTACATATTTGATAGTCCTTCATCAAAATAATCGCAGCTCTTGTGATTTGAAAATCACACCCTTTCAAATCGCGATTTCGGTTTACAAACGATTAATCGTGCAGGCCTAATTACCACAGTACTTTCTTATAAAGCATCCTTTACATGCTTACAAAAAAGTACTATGGTACCACGGTAATACCATGATATTTTGGACATGTACTATCAAATTATAATTTATTGAATTTTTTGAAGTAACTTAGAATGCCATATAAATGAATATGATACCCATGAGTTTGGTTTTGACAAGGTACTCCATTGTTTTAAGATACTACATGACTTCCATGGTACATGCCCAAAATAATTTTTTTTTAATGTTACCACATTATGTCCTTGTGAAGGATCCCTTACTCAAAAACAAACAAAAAAATAAAAATAAAATAAAAAGCACTATGTTGCCACCGATAGCCTTGTGGGCAGCGCATTTAGACATACAGCCCCATTGCACTTCGGGCGTCGAATCCCAGCTCGTGGACCTTTCCTGAACACCCCCCCCCCCCCCCTCCGTTC